ATCTGTAATGGGTGTTTTTTTGCCTTGATATTCACGTCATTTCTAATGGCCGAGTAATTTTTGAATTCCAATTTATTGTAGAGAAATTTTTTGTGGGTTCCGCTTGATTTCATTATTTTTGTTTTTGTCTAGGTAGTTTTCGCTTACTATGCCTGTAGATCTTGTTGGCTCTCTCGATTATGACTGTACAGTCTGCTGAATTTCCTTATCCTCCTTTGCTTTCATGTAACATCCGTGGTCGGGGGCGGATGGGCTGCCAAATTCAATGCTACCTGTCGGCAAGGAGATATGAAGTTGATGTGTTTTTTGTTATTGTTTTTTTCCTTTCTTTGAGTTAAGGAGGGACAATTTTTTCAATAGTAAAATATGTAAAATATATCTTCACGTTAATTAGAAAATATGTCATCTGTCAACAGATGTCCAAAGCTGATAGATGTTCAAGCTAGCAGAAATGCCAGACGACTATTTTGTTCAATTTTTCTTTTTTTAGCCTAGAAAAACTCTCTGACTAGCTGATGTTGAAGTATCAGGATTCAAGAAACAATTAATTAATCCACCTAAAAGTTGGCATTAAAAAATTGAGGGCTCTAGTCATCTTTCTTTTACAACTAAAAATGTTAAGAAGCGATATAATAATGCTTTAAGACCCGACCCCGATTGAGGTTTCTACAAGAAGTGCAATTCATAAGCCAAAGATATCATCAAACGGACCACACACAAAAACATCCCCAGTAATCTGTCTCCCTACCACAAAAAAATAAATAAATCTGTCTCTATATAGTCGACGTTTAACATTAGCCGAAGAAGCAACAGAGTAACCCTCAGTCTGTACATTCATCCATGCTATTCATGGCCGCCAGCGCAAAAAACAAGTCATCGTCACTCGCAGCCATGATTCCTGCTCTGAAAGTTTGCTCGGGCCAAATCTGGATGCACCACGAAGAAGGACGACGGACGCTTGCAATCGTCCAAGGTTGCTGGCACTGCATCCAGGCATCTTTTTGGCCAGCTCTTCAAGTCTGGTTAGCGCTAGCATAGAGGTGCATGTCTGCATGATTTCAATTTTCCTTCTCAGAAAGGGTACTATTGCAAGCGCATCCTTTTTCGTTTCTCTGTGTACCAACTGCATGAGCATGTTGGTTCTAGTATAGTCAAAACTCATTTTTTGAACATAACATCCGGTGGTCATAATTATTGATCTAGCACTTCGGATGTTCAATCTCTCTTTTCCTTCCCCTTATAACTATAAACATGAACTATCATGAAGTGGAGAGAAAACGACAGCTGAATGCATAGCTGATGCCATTGTTGATTATCGTGCCGAATTTGTTCACGTCCCTTCATCGGCTGATCTTCATTCTCCTTTTGCATCTAAAGATTGCCCAACTTGTGATGGAATGGTGGGTGCCATTTACCTACTACTTATGGTTAAAAGAATTCTTAATTTTTCACGAGTAGTTATTTTTATATAGAGATGATGTTAATTGTCTCTTACATATAGATCGACTTACCTCTGGTCATAATATTCTATGATCCGCAATACATCATTCCTAATAAAAGAACCAAGTTGCGTGAGCTCTAGGGCTTGAATCTGCACCAATGCCTCAAATTTTCCCTTTAGATAGGGTGCTAGCAAGGAAATGGAGCATGCAAGATATGTCAACCTTGCCAACATATTAACCAAAACCACTCAAGGCGATCATATTTTTTATTTTCACATGTTGTGGGGAGTTGTGGCTGTTCAGAATGCAAACACAAATTACAAGTCAAAATTTCTGCTGATGATGGGAGTTTTGTTTCAAATTTGTTACTCTCGCACAAATCTTCAGAGGAAGTTGTTCTGTAATGCTTACATTCACAATCTTTCTTTGTAGATTTAGCAGCCTTCATGGAAAGCCTATAATACCATGAGAAAAATGGACTACCTCTAAGGCTAGTATACACGTATTGTCTTCTTTCCTTTTCAGATTCTTCACTCTCACTTAGTGATATTTATTCTCATTACACAAGATCTTTTATGCACAATGTTATGAATTTATGCACCCGCATTGTTTCTAAGAAGATGCATCATTCTTGTGGCAAGACTTGGGTTTAAATAGAAAAATGCTGAGCTTATTTATTTGCTTCAAGCTGCAGTTGTTACTCACATCTCGCTTGTTTTTAGTATAATTTGGAAAAATACATGCATATGAGGATCAAATATTTGGTAGAGATCGTATCTCTTTAGTTTGACAAATTTTAGTTATAGTTCCTTTGCAAAGTGCTATTTTAGTGATTCTCTAGCATTTGTGTCACGGTACTATTTGGAGTGATATTCAACCGGTTTTGATGCGCTGTCTTTCGTCTAACAAAGATAAAAGGTCATACGTGGATAAATTTATCTTTGCTAACAGACAACACCTGTCCTCTCATGATAACGGGAAGTATAGATTTATGCAGGATGAATGTGCTAAACTAACGTAGGAACACCTTTCAACTTTCTCTCAAATGACTAGTTTTGGGTAGTCCTCTATAATTGTAGCTTGACTATACCTCTCGGGATTAATGTTGATTATTTTGTGTAAATGTGAGTTGAACTGCAATGGGCTTGCTGCTTTAGGTTATATAATCCCTTTCATGGATGCACATCTACACTTAGCCTGAAGGTCATTTTTTCCAAGAGAGAAAAGATTATAGAAGAACTAGCCGGCACTTTGATTCTTGAAACTTGTCTGTCATGGTCTTTTACATAGTATGAAAAAATGTAATTCTAGAATGGCATGTTCTGTTGTGAGTTCCTTTTTACAATTCCACCTCCTTCTCTGCAATACATAGTCAACAGCATGAAATACCCGAGCATTGCTGCATTCTGGTTTATTACGTTGGTGGATTTGAAAATGATGATGAAGTCAAACAGAAAATGTGGTGGCAATACAAGGTTCTTATTTTGATTGATTTGCTTAAGTTATTCCTGTTCTGAAATCCAATTACCTATTACCATCCGAGGGTATCTAAGGACTATGAATTAGCACAACCGTTGACGAATTGTTTGTTTTTTTGGTATAAAATCCATAAGATATGATTGGATTCAAGGTATGGTGGCTAATCATAAACCTAGCGCAGAGCATGTGCAGAAGTTAAGATTTGCTTAAGTTTCGAGCTGATGAAAAGTTTGTTATATTTAATGTGGTCATCATTTCATCTTGCCTTATGCAAATGCTTCCATCCAGATTAACGATTAGCTACCGCATCTTAAATCTGATCATATCTCATAGATTCTTAAACCAAAAGAACAAGCAGTTCATTAACGGCTGTGTTAATTCAGTCTTTAGATATCATTAGACGGTAATAAGTAATTAGATTTCAGAACTAGGAATAACTTAAGCAAATCAATCAGAATAAGAATTGTATTGCCACCATATATTCTGTTTGACTACATCATCATATTCAAATCCGCCAACAATTTGAGGGAAGGTAATAAACCAGAATGTGGCGATGCTCGAGTATTTCATGTTGTGGACAATGTGCAGCAGAGAAGGAGATGAGATTGTAAAAGGGAACTCAAAACAGAACATATCATTCAAGAATTGCAATTTTTCATACCCATGTAAAAGACCAGGACAAACAAGTTTCAAAAATCAAAGTCCCGCTAGATTTTCCTTAATCTTTCGTCTATTGGAAATTATAACCTTCAGGCTAAGTGTAGAGGTATATCCATCAAAGGGATTCTACAACCTAAACTAGCAAACATCTAGCAGTTCAACTCACGATTCACGGATCGCTACACGATCACCTCACAAAGGAATTGCAACTAAAATTTGTCAAACTAAAGAGATAGGGTCTATACCAAACATTTGATCCTAATATGCACGTTGTTCACCAAATTATACTAAAAGCAAGCGAGATATGACTAACAACTGCAACTTGAAGCAACTAAATAAGCTTAGCATTACTTATCACAAGAAAGATGCGTTTTTTTAAAAACAATGCGGGTGCATAAATTTATAAAAGTTTGCATTGAAAGTCTTGTGTAATGAGAACGGATATCACTAAATGAGAGTGAAGAATCCGAAAGGAAAAGAAGACAATAAGTATATACTAGCCTCATAAAGATAGTCCATTTTTCTCATGACATTATAAGCTTTCCATGGAGGCTCCATAATTTACAAAAACAAAAAAGATTGTGAATATAAGCACTACATATAACTACCTTTGAAGATTCGCTCAAGTGTAACAGATTTGAAACGCAACTCATATGTTTTGCACAAATTCTAACTTATAATTTGGATTTGCATTCTAGACAGTCCATGACTCCTTGCAACACGTGGAAACAAAGAAATGATGCTCTGGTTTCAGTTAATATGTAAGTAGACATATCTTGCATACCCCACCATTTCCTTTCTAGCACTCTAGTTGACTGGAAAATTTGAGGCATGGGTATAGATTCCTTCAAATTTAAGACCTATAGCTCATAAAACTTGGTTCTCTCATAGAGAAACTTATGATCGTTGAGTATTATACCAGAGGTAAGTCCATCTAGATATAGGAGACAGTTAACCTCATCTCTATATAAAAATGACTATTCGTGATTAACCATAAATAGTAGGTAAATGACACCCACAGTTCTATCACAAGTGGGGCAATCTTTACATGGTAAATGTGAATGAAGATCAACAGATGAAGGAAGGTGAACGACTTTAGCATGATTATCAAGAATGGCGTAAGCTATGCGTTAGGTTGTTGCTTTCACTTCATTGCATGAACATTCATGTTTATAGAGTTATAAGGGCAGGAAAAGAGAGATTGAACATCCAAAGTGACAGTTCACTAATTATGACCATGTTAAAAAAAGGAGTTTTGATCATACTCGGACCAACATGCTCATACAGTTGGCACACAAAGAAAGGATGCGCTTGCAAAAGTACTTTTTTTTTTTTTAACAAGGAAAATTGAAATCATACATCTATGTGCTAACACTAACCAGACAAGCGAAACTAAGATCATGCAAGTTGAACCAGAAAACATCAACCACATAAAAGAGACATCCTCAGCACACAAATATTCTCGATATTAAAGGAACAGTGAGATTATTTTTTTATTTTCTACAGGGTATGTGATCCTTACCAAACTTCATTATACTGTAGAGTGGTACTACCATCTTCTAAGCACATATTTCCAAGTTCTAAGCCTGACCAATAGATCCCAGGGCAGTTAGACGCAGCATATTTTCTGGAGATAACTAAATACTCTCTCCATATATTTCCGGTTTCAGAAGATAGGTAAATTCTTAGAATGGATGCTGCATCATAGAAGAGAGATACATCAGATCCTTAAACTCTGTCCGTGTCCAGACACGACCCAATCTGACTTCAACTTCCTTTAGCAAGCAAAAAAACTGTTCGAACCCAACCGCTCATGGAAGAGCTTCTCTCTATCCCTCTTGGTGATAGTTCCACTAAAACCCTAGATCCCTCATGATTTCCCCAACCATTACCCTTCATCCCCATTCAAACCCTATCCCTACGCTTCTCCCCCTCATTCCCTCATGATTTCCCCTCCAATCATTGCCCTTAAACCCTAAATCCCCTTTTCTCAGCCCGTGAACCCATGAACATTTCCTCATCCCACATATACACAACCTATTTCATCATTACATTCATCCAAATAGCATCATTGTCCGTCTACTGTTCCATCTATTTCCTGTTCTTGGAGCCTCCTTCATCCTTCAATCTTACCCCTTTCACTTGTCATTCTTAATGACATTTGACTTGTAATGGTCATACTGAGACTAGCGATTATCTTCTTTCTTGGGCTCTTCCATTCATCGCTCTTGGCTTCTTTGGGCAAATCGTGTTACTCTTGTGACGGGTGATAGCTGGCTGCTTTCTGGTTTTGTTGGGCATTCCGTTGCTGCTTCTGGTTTTTCTGGTCCAATCAAGGTGGGTAGTATTCCTCGTTTGTTGTTGGTCCTGCCTGGCCTTTGTGTCCTGTTTTTTGCATCCTCTCGGGAGTGGCTGCTGCATTACTGATTTTCCTACATTTGTACTTTGATTCCCTGACCTGTGAAATCATATACTTGGCTGGTCAGTACGAAGAGGAGAGGCATCTAGCTGCTCTATGTAGAAGACTAGGTAATTTGTGGTCGGAAGTGGTCAGAAGAAGATGAGGTCGTGATGAAGGGAGATGCTCCCTTGGAGAAACAGGGCGAGTGCCACCTCACCCTCTATGGAAAGCTTTATTCAACACCTAATGTCAACTTTCAGGCCTTCTTGAGCACTACGAAAAGAGTGCGGACTTGGCTTTAGAGACCTTATCTCCTTTAACAAAGCCATGTTAGACAAACAAGCTTGGAGACTAGTGCTACTGCAATCCCCAATATCCCTTTAGAGTCGAGTTATGCAAGGCATCTATTTCCGCAGGGGGGATTTTTGGAATGCTGGGAAAGGTTCCCGGCCTTCGTGAGGCTGGCAAGGTGTATTATTGGAAGAGAAGCGAGATACGCAGAAGTGTTGTGGTCAGTGGGAGATGGAAACTCGATGAAAGTCCACGAAGAAAAGTGGGTTTCAGCTGGGCTGATTAAAGGACCTGCCAACCGAGAAGACCCCCAAACTGTGGCTGAGCTTATTGAACCGGAGTCAAACCGATGGAATGAACAGAAACCGAATGAACTAATTGATGAGGATATAGTGAAGGAAATCCTCACTATCTCACTCAATACAACCCCGGGGGATGACAAGCTCATTTGGAAGGGTGCTAAATCAGGAGTTTATAATGTGAAAAATGGCTACCACGGCATATATATCACAGCACAACAGACTCCCACAAACCAAGCCTCATCATCATTTCAGCCACCAAAATCACTGAGGACACGAATCTGGCTGCTACACTCTCCTACCGAGATACGAAATTTTCTGTGGAGCGTATGCCAAAACGCCCTCCCTACTTGTGAAAATTTCTATAAAAGAAAGATGCTACCTGCTCCCTTGTGCCCGTTCTGCTCTCAAGCCCGATTGAACATATGTTTTTACTGTGTAAATGGACGAGCGAAATCTGGGCTGATCAGAGACTGAAAATCAGTATATGCTCGCGAAGCATTACTCGAATGGACAAATGGGTGTCGGATATTTTTGGGAGCTAGTCGCCGGTGCCCTGTGGCAGATCCGGAAATCTCGGAATTCTTTTGTTTTCCATGCTCGCAAGCCGGATCCCAGCATTGTTGATACTGCACTCGCAATCAACACGAATTATTATCAAGAATAGGAACCCCGAATCGAAGGGGGAAAAAAAAAACAGGGAAAAGAAAACTTACCTTCTCGGCCAGTTCGATGGGTGCCGCCGGCGAGTAAATAATCCATCAAGCTCAATGTCGATGGCTCTTGGGTAGAAGGAAGTGCCGAAGGATCGGTAGCTGGAATTTGTAGAGACCGGAACGGGTTGTTGATTGCTGGTTTTGCGAAAACAGTGCAGCGCGTCTTCTGCGAGCCAGACCGGAGCTCTAGCGGTCGAAGGAGGACTCTTGTACTCGATGGGCAGAACTGATCGCGATCGCGAATCATTGCCAACCATCGCCGAAGTTGCCCAAACCTCGCCGCCATGCGCTGCCGCCGCCGCCGCCGCCGGAGCTCTCGCCGCCGCTGCCGTTCGGTTCGAATCGCGTCTAAAGTTTGAGCCTTTTTGGAGCTCGCTCGGACAAGCGGCATTTGCGGATGGAAGAAGAAAGAAGGGAATATGAAAGAGAACAGAAATGCCGTTGAAAGTAACACACATGAGAGCACATGCTAACCGACACTAAAGTTGATCACCTTAGGTACTGTTGACACCTATTTTTAATTTGCCCAAAATTAATTACACAAAATTTAGGAATTAATTTTCTTTAATTCCTAAAACAAAAAAATATTTCTATTTAAATGCATTGCATATAGACATTAGGCATATGTGCATTAATAGGGCCTATTAGAGCATATTTTCTTAAATTTTAAACAAAATTTAAAAAAAAAAAAAAAAAAAATTTCGGGTAGGGTGGGCCGACCCGGCCCTTTCTTTTTCCTTTTCTTCCCCTCCCGGCCCCCGGCCCATTCTTTTTTTCTTTCTTTTCTTCCCCCGCACTTTTGGGCCGGCCCGCCACCCCTTTCTTCTTCTTCCTCGCGGTCGCTCTCTCGCCCTGTTCTCCCCTCGTTCGCGACGTCACGCCAGCACGACGCACGGCGGCGCGCTCCTCGCCGTCGCTATCTCGGCCGTAGGAAGGCCGAGAGAGCACGCCTGACGGACCGGCATTAATTGCCGTCCCGTCCTCCCCTGTCCCGGCTTCCTTATCTCTCCTCCTCCTCTCGCCTCCCTCGTCTCTCGCCCGCGCCTCATCAATCCGATCTCAGCTCGCACTGCCTAAATGGCCGCGAAAGTCGCGTGCCGAGTAGGCGGTGCGTGCACTGTCGTCATTACGGCGTAACTGAGGCAGGGCACTGGCCGTCCGGCTATAAATAGCCAAAGGGAGAGAGAGAGCCCTGGTCGGCAAAATTGAGAGAGAAACAGAGAGAGAAAAATTGAGAGAGAAAGAGAGAAAATTGAGAGAGAAAGAAGGGAAAGTCGGTTTTGCAGGTTCCCAGCCGCGTCGCCGTCGCCCGATCAACCGGGAAGCCCCTGACGCGCTTCGATGGTGAGCTCTCATCCGCCCGAACCGCCCCGTTTTGCTGTTTTTCGCTCGGTATGGCCGGGACTCGCGCCGGCCGTTTGCGCGAATCCGCCCATACCGTCATCCCCGCCGTCCGTGTGTCCTCACCGAAGGTAGGTTGATTCGCTGAATCCTCCGGTCACGGAACGTCGATTTGTTGTTTTTGGAAGCGCACACCATCTGTTCGACAAAAGTCCTCAATGAAACCGGTTTTTGTTTTGGCCGCCGGCCGTGCGGCGAACTAGCCGACAGTGACCCGGTGGGTGGAGAGGCTTGGTTTTACTCCCAGAGGCCGATTGGGGCGGCGCCCGGGTCTGGCCGGTGAGAGGCCGTTTTGGCTTCGACGGGCGGCTCCCACCGGTTCGGCCGACCCGGCTCAGCTTGACGACCAGCCAACGCCCCGGCCTGATTCGTTGACTCGGTCGGTCCAATGACCTGTTCACTGATCCGACCGTGTCAACGATCGTCGGATTCAGTTGACGGTCGGTCAAATGACCCGGTTCAATGGATCCGACCGGTCAACGACGGGTCGGATCAATGAACCGGTCCGGTCCACTGACCGGTCCGGATCCCTTTTTTTATTTTTATTTTTATTTTATTTTATTTTATCGTTTTTTTTTTAAAAATTTTAAAAAAATTTCAAAAAAATTTTTTTTTTCTTTTTTTTTTCTTTTCTTTCTTTTTCTTTCTTCTTTTTTATTTGTTTTTTTTTATTTAAAAAATATTTCGTATTTTATTTTTTTTTATTTCTTTTTTATTTTTTATTTTTATTTTTATTTTTATTTTTTTAAAAAAATTTTTTTTTTTTTATGTGATATATTGTTGTTGTTTTAATCTAATGTGATATTATTTTGTAAGTTTTTGTCTTATTTAAATTAGACAAGCCTGAGGTTGCGCTGTAGTATTTGCATGTTAGTTTTTATTACCGTTGTATTGTTATTCATGTTTTTAATACAATTGCATGAATGTTGTGTTTTTGAATGTCATCCGACTTAGTTAGGGTTAGAACCTTAGGCCGCATGAATTCTGTGTTCCCGATCGCCGATCGTTCCCGATTATGCACTCGCTTGATCACCTCACATATTAGGAGAAAGGTCCTAAAATCAATCCAAATTGCTCGACAAATGTTTTCGTAAATGAATAGGGTAAAATGGTACCGAAAGGGCATTAGTTATCCAACTAGTGTAACCAAGTCCCCGAATTTAGTTAATCACTGTTCGTAGGAATAGGGTGATTCTCCCATCACCCTATTTGGGTTTCTAATCGGCCCACCCCAAATCGATTAGTGGCGACTCCTCGATATAAACCACTTGCATGTTAAACACTTAAACCCTAAGTCGCGATATGGTATGGGCTTGGGAGAAGCCCGAGTTAAGTCCCGAACCTAGACTTAGCACGTACAAAGCGAGCCCCCTTTTTGCATGTTGTTTAAAAAGGGCTCGGGAGTTCGGTCGCGAGTACTGGCGACTCCAGGGGATTTGTTTTTTTTAAAAGTGGACTTAGGCCAAAAATTTTATCCTGTTCAAAATGATTTTTGTTTGGCAAAGAAGGACTCAGTATGAACCCGACATTAAGGTGTTGTTTGTTCTTGTAGGTTCGAATTGATTGTTTATAATTTGTTGTGCATGCTTTAATGATTTAGCACTACACCGTTGCACACACAACCACGCTGCCGGACCTGGGCCGCGATAGGGCATCCTAGGATGGTGTTAAGAAAGATACGACCTCGAACGCGAGTCCGCGATGTAGAGGTTGCCTTTCTTTTCCCCGGAATTTATTTCTAAAAATCGTAAAGAAGTATCTTTAGCCGCTATTCGCGTGACTATAAGATATTCCTTTCGATTCGGCCGAGGTTAAAAGGACTTGACACCAACGCGAGATCGCGACGGTCGTGCACCCTTTTAACTTCATTTTCAGCGCCTAGATAGAAATCGAACCTCACTCCTCATGTGTATGTCATTGTGATTGCCATGGTTCAAGGAAAGGTATATATTCCGTCCCTTTTCATTTTATTATCCAAACGTACTTATTCATTTGATTCGTTTTTTTAGGCCACCCGTTGATTGCATTTTATACACGATGGGAAGAGTCGATGTCCAATTTGTCCCCACTCCTAAAAAAGAGCTTCGGCATGGTGGGACCGACTCGATCAAAATGGCCAACAGTATGTTAAAGCAAGAATTGGTCGCCTACTCCCTTGCTCAAAATCAACATCCATTCGGCATGATGCAAGCATTAGCACATTTCTCGTGTCCACAAACATCCACTTTCATATTCGGTAAGTTTGAGATGACCCACCCCGGAGGAGAACGGCGTTGTCATTGGAAAGCCTTTGGGATCTCGAACTCATCAAACCACTTTTGGGTGTGTCCCTCTATCCGAATTATCCGGTTTTGCGAACCGATAGCAATACCGTGAAAAGAGTCGTTAAAGCCTATTGCAATGCCTCGCCCTCGGTTTTTCCTAAATGAACGTTTTGAAAGTCAACCCATGAGCCAAAAAGCTAAAATTTTTATCCTTGCTTTTGTTGGGTGTGTCATTTTCCCCATCGTAGAAATTCAATAAACCCTTCAATTGCGTATGTGGCCAAACAAATTTGCACGGCTTGGTTATGTTAACTCGGTTCTAGCGAAACATTTTTGTCTTTGAACCGTTTTAAACAAAATGATGATAAAATTATGCGGGCGCCCGCAGATTTTACAAATCTGGTTTTATCTCATTTGAGAGGTTTTGGGCATCTCATGCAGCTTTTTGAAGTCGATGACTTCATGCACCCGATTCAAAGGTTCGAGGTTTTAGAAAATAATTCCCCTCATAAGGATTATTCTACTCCGGATAGATTTTTTGAAAAACCCCGATCCCGAGGCTTTCTTGTGGCATGCTAAATGGTTCCATGAGGGTCGTTCGGTATGCTCACCAGTTTCACAACCCCGTCCCTTTGCTCGGGTTATCCGGCATCACTTCATACTACCCCTACCGGTAGCTCGCCATGAGGCCCTCCGTGAGATCCCGCCACCTCTTACGGCGCATTTGCTTCGAACCCGATTCACTCGCTCAAATTATAATTACGCTGACGAAATTGGTGTCATCCAGAGAAAATGGATTGAATGTCAACTCCGAGATCATTCTTGTGCCTAAACCGTTGAAAGGGCAAGAAAAAGTCCACCATGCCTCTTTATTCTACATCATACATCACAAAATCCCTGCAGAGCTACGGCCTAAAAGTCCCGGATGTACCTAACAAGCCGGCCGCCAAACACAATCGACCACTCGAGACCGTGGGGACGAAGGATACGCTTATTGCGGAGCTTGTCCGTGAAAATAAACGGCTCCGAGAGACTGTAGCTTCCCCATCGTCTATAGAATGAGCATCTAGGAAAGGGCATCTTCTTGTTAAAAGCCCTGTCTTTTATATGTCCCTGTATTTATGTTTAGGGGTTTTGAATATCTCCTGTAAAAATGTTTATGGTTTGTACAAATGTTAATATAGCTCGGGCCGCTTTTTATACTTTAAATAATTTTTTTTGCCCCGTACTGACACCACCGCGGCCTTCGGCCCAAGTGGTATCCGGGATGTAGCCTCGGGTCCAGGCGACGGGTTCGAACCCGGGACGCCACCGTAATGATATATAAATAAAACCTTTTTTTTTCTCTCTTTTTCTTTGCAAATAAGTACATTATGCAATAATAATATGACTAAGTCATAGAATGATTCTTTATTGGGCATTATACTCATTCATATACGCGTTTTGGTAGTTACAAAAATGGCCGAAGAAAATGTCCGCCTCAATAATATGGAAGATGAGATGAAAATGGTCATCAATGCGATCCAAAATCTCACAAAGCAGGTGGAATCCATTCATGGCAAGCTTACACCTACGCCCGCGCTAGCGTTGAGGTGGTGTTATCACCACCGTCTCCTGGAAAAAGACAAAGCTTCACGCCATGACAATAAAATGCCCCGCTAGAGGACGATCCGCTTCCCTTGCTTTGAAGCCCGAACTCAGGTACGGTGACTTGAACAGACAAACGCCTTGCAAAGGTCGAAGAAATGAAATGCTCTACAAGGCCCGCAACATGCCGTTCCACTTGACTGTCCATATACAAACGGGTCAAAGTACTAAAA